TAGATGCATCCAATGAATGGCTCATGACGCTTGAGCAACGAGAGCGGTGGAATCGGATGATGTCATCGGTCAAGACACTCTTGGTTCGAAAGTTGCGCTCACGATTGGTGGAAAAATGGCTACTGCGTCATTGGTTTATTCTAACATGCAAGAGAAATCTAGATGATATCACATTGGTATTCATATCATATCACATTCATATCACGTTTTTTTTTTTGTATTGTTGACTGGTTGGTTGTAACTATAAATTTGTTGGAAAAGAAGATGAGCAAAATGCACTTTTTTAAGAAATAGGTATTTTCAATGTTTGCCGTGGCCATATACACGTATGTATGTGATTCTTGTCAGGACTGATCATTAGGGTTGTTCAAAACAACCGAATTTTGTAAAAATATACGGGCTCTGGCTCATTTGGTGCGGTTTACTTTTCTGAGTCCCATGCTGCCCCTTTTCCGAAAAGTATAGATGCTAAGTGCTAGGTGCTCTTCCAGCGGCTTAACCCTCGCCGGCCGAGGGGGGAGGCGGGTGCCGCCCCCTCCATAGGGTTTTTTCGCGATAGCTCCGAACACGCTGGCGATAGAGAGCTGAAACTTGACATACCTGACCTGTGATTTAAGCCGGATCTTTTGACACCAACCACATTTTTGGGTCAGGTCAGGACACTGACCTATGACGTCATAAGTGAACCTCTGCACGGTCTTCAGATGTCGCAACTTCGCAACGCCCTCACTGCCAGAGGAGATGTCACAGGGAAATGAAACTTGCAGGATCTATTATCCATTATGAGTCTCACAACTTGCACATCTCGGATTTTTCATAAAGCTCATATGAGGTCAGGTCATTTTCGTGACCTCAATATTACCTATAAGTCAATGGGGAAAATTCAAACTGCTATTCTGGCACCGGGAACGATCTCCAACTATCTCAAGCACACATAATCGGTATTAGGGTCCCCTAACAAAGTTTAGTGGCCCCTCTGGAGTGTGAAGACCAGCTGGGTCGGAGGTGGGTTGGGGAGCGGCAGTCCGTGGGTAGGGGCGAGGGCGAGGGAGGAGACGAGAGGACAGACGTCAGTCAGTGAGAGGGGACGACGGTGACAACAGAGGCGGGCCGCGAGTGGCGCGTCTGGTGGCGTGATTGCGCGTGTGTGGTAGGATAGCGTGCGTGTGCTGGCATCACGCAGCCTCTATCGTGCACGGTACGGTGGTGAGAGCCAGAGCGGGACGCGGACCATGGACTCCGCGCAACACTACGGACCCGGCACCGTTGGAATGGCAGGTGGGTCCGGTCCGCCGGTATCTGCATCGTAACCACGTGCTGTGTGCAGTGTCGTTGGCTGTATGTATCATGTTCGGCGACTGACCTGGGAATGTTAGGTCAGTTCGGTACGAGGCCTGGCAGAGGCCGGTTCGGACAGAGGCCGGTGCGGACAGAGGCCGGTTCGTGAGGCCGGTGCGGACAGAGGCCGGTTCGTGAGGCCGGTGCGGACAGAGGCCGGTTCGTGAGGCCGGTTTCCAACACCAGGGCAGTGTGAATCGACACCCTTCGAACACCAGTGCAGCGTGAATCGACACCCTTCGCAAACACCAAGGAATTGTGTGAATCGACACCCTTCAAACACCAGGGCAGTGTGAATCGATACCCTTCAAACACCAGGGCAGTATGAATCGACACTCTTCGCAAGCACCAGGGCAGTGCGAATCGACGCCCTTTAACACCAGGGCAGTTTGAATGACACCCTTCAAACACCATGACAGTGTGAATCGATACCCTTCGCAACATCAGGGAAGTGTAGTTGACCTGACCCAAACAAAAAGTTTATCATTCAACGCGCCTGAGCGAGGCGAACACGATGCTGCCAAAATCGCGGCTCTGCGGCCGTTTTCTGCGAAGTTATTCACCGTACCTTGGGGCACTTGGCCTGACCTCGGAGGTCACCGGTTGACCTAGGACCTTAAAATCGGGTACTAATCTCTGCGTCTCGTAACGGCGCACACGCTCGTTTTTTTCCGCGACGCGCTAGCTCCACCAGGGGCGAAACGGCGAGGGGGTCGTACCCGCCCCCCCCCCCCCTCGGCCGGCGCGTATGTAGAAAACCAATAGGTCCGGCGAGGGTTAAAAGAAAATGTTACGTCCGCCGACCCAGCCCCCGTTCACGAGCTTCAGAATTCCTTTACCGTGACGTCATCACGGCGCATGAATTTTCCTTCACCCATAGGAATGCATGCAAAGCATGGTGTGTTTCAGGCGGGCTAAGGAGAAATCTAAGGCCTACATGTGTTCAAAAGACGTACCACTAAGCCATTGGATTCGTCTCATTACGATAAATGGGGTTGAAATCGAAAAAATCGGCCTATATTTGACTAAAATGGGCCTATCAAATGGTCCTTGCAACTCATAATGAAGGATTTCCTCTGCGTTCAAAAAATTGTTTCTTGTGATTTTTATCAGCTACAGGGGAAATCCTTCATAATTGCTACCAGATTACTACCATATTCCCTCGCATTTCTGTTGCGCATTGCCTCACAAATCAGAGTTTTGTGAAGTTTATATTAATTTAATTGTCATATTTCGACTGATTTTGGCGATTTTCAATTATTTCAACGCAGCATGGATCAGATAGCTCTCATAGTTTGCTGAAGAATGTGGCTTTTGCTTGGTTATTTTCAAGTTATCTGTGATTTGGTGCGCCGTGATCGTAGCATTATACAAATTACCTATATCAACTTTAAAAATTGAATCAACTTTTGAAGTGAAGTTCACATGAAAAATCAAAAGTCCAAGCATAATAATTGTTTAAAGATAATGATGCAACATGTGTCTCCCAGATGGAACTTATATTTCAATTAAAAACTGAAAATGGAAAACAGAAGATGGATCTGCGGAGTTACTGAGATCACAAGGTGCTCTTGATTGTTGGTAATTGAAGATGTTGAGAGAACTTGTGAATCTGCATACCAGTCCTGACTTGCTTGATTGTTTAAAACTATTTTAATTCTCATAATTGTGTAATGTGTAGTGACTGTGCACACTGCGCAGCACATGTGCGCAGAAATGTGCAGGTGGCTGGTAGGTGGGTTAAACTTCGGAGATGCGAATTTGGATGTCAGTTATAAAATTAATGGTTATGCCTTGTAGGGTAAGCTCTGCTGTTTTTTGTAATTGCCTTTTTTATAATTGTAACCTACAATGCTGTTAGTTTCATTTTTATTTAAATGCTCGACCAGAATTTGCACTTGTTTATGCATGAATGGCTAAGTTTGGGGTGTTTATTCAACCCTGACTGCTCAAGTTTTTCAAAGGCACATGACACAGCACGGCTAGATCAGCTGGTACCTACCTGTTGACTATTTTTGTTTTTGGTGGTGATGTGTTTGCTGTTTGTCTTTTGCAAGGTGGTCAATGAAATAAAATAATGCATTATTTTGGAATGTTTCCTTGACAGAAGCCAGGAGCCGGATTGATGTGTGCTGGTGAATGAGATGGTTCAAAAGCATTATCTGATGTTTTTCAATGTACATAAGCCATAACATCCCTTTCATACGCTGAAGTTTTAATAGCTTCTCAGTCTCTGTCATTTTCCTGAAATATTGGTGTACAGTAGATAAGAGATATCAGTACCTTCTCAGAGGTACCTGCCTTCTGCTGGATGAATATTTAATTGGTTGGACGAAATGGATAGGTAGCCTTATGATAATGTAATGTGAAATCTTGTTTCTATAAAACTTTGAAAATGAAGTTCTAATTATTCATATGTGCATACATTTTTGATGACTATGAAAGTTTTCCACAAGAGTAGAAAATGTGGGAAAGTCTATCAAATAACATATTCTGAAGGCTCAATGCTGACAGAGTGCTGCCTCAAAGAATAACTGACTTGCTGGGTTACGAATATTTCTTTATTTTAATTTTCAAATGTAATGTAAAATACATTGCAGTGAAATAACAAAATAGTGCTGTAAAATAGTATTGGCGACGATCAAACAACACGTGCGCCATTGATGTCTGCAAAAATTGCTACCAGATTGCTACCAAATCCGTGACGTCACCACGGCGCCTTTATTTCCCTAGTGAACCAACCTGAGTAGTAAAGTAATCTTGCGCCGACCAGCCGGTGTCAATAAGGGCGAGAATTTCACGCCGCGCGCGGGCGGCAGCGCAAATCTCCGTATTGCCGCGGACCGGCGACTGGTAGACTGAGCCGACATGCACCGGCCCGGCCCGGTGTATGCCCTCGGGGCAGGCCACGCTGGAGGGGGACTCGGAGTCGGGCCGAGCGAATGCTGCCAGTCTGTGTCGGACCGGGGCGAGTGAATACAGGCACGAACCGGAGCAGTTGTGTCGGCGGCTGCGACAGAGGATGCAACACATACCATGGGAGTCTATCCGCTTTGTTTCCTGGAATCTCCAACGTCCAACGAACGGCCTTTGTTGACCCAGCGAGTCGTTCGTCGGATGACCGGCTGCCCGACTCCCCCCCCCCGTCCGTCTCTTGTGTCCTGTCACGGGCCGCTCCGCCTCCTGCCCGGCCGTTGTCTGGCTCTCCTGTGCCGCTGCCGACCGGGCCAGCTAACTACCTGGCGCGCCGCCAACCGGTGCGGCCGGTCACCGGCCCGACCGCCGCCGGCGCCCAGGTCACAGGTCACTGCCGGTCACTGCCCGTCACGTGACCCGGGGTCAGCGCGGAGTTGGGGTCGGGCGGTGTCGTGCAGTACCCGCTCGCGTGTCCGTCACCGACCGGCCGGTATCGACTGGGCTCGGCCGAGGGCGGGGAGGGGCGGCCCGCCCGGTCGAAGCGGCAGGTATTTTGGCGGCGGTAGCGGCGACGACGGCGGCGCCGGCTGCGTCGGCAGTGTGTGACAGGCGCGGGCGGCGTGCTGCAGGTCGACTCCGAGCCGATCGTGTCGCTGATCGGACCACCGGGCGCGGCCCGATTAGATCGGCTGCTGAGTGGAGCCAGCCGGTGACGAGCGATGTGATCCAGCTGCCGGTTACTCACCATGGCCAGCAGCTCCAGCCGCGTGCCCTACCGGCGCACCACCTCTTACATGCTCTACGGCAGGAAGGCGTCTTGCAGTGAGTACCCTGACGGAGGCACATGTATGAGGACGGGACGGCGCCGCGGTAACGGGCCCCTACTACCCATATAGGGGATCCGGTTGTGTCATTTGCACGTGGTCTCCGCATTGCCGCATCACGTATATCAACATTCCGATAGTTTATTGGGATCTACGTTACGTAAACTGATGGAGCTCAATGTCCGTCCAGGCCTACACAAACTAAATCCACCATCTGTTTATTGAATGGGGCGTTGAAAACATTTAACGTGCATATTAATGATGTGACATGTGGTGATAGCTAAACGGCGAGGTTAATCCTCCGACCATTTCTTTCATACAAAATCGTTATCCAATGATAAACAATGAACGTTCACTGTGAATTTGTGGAATGTAGACGGACGTATCTCCCATGCGCGTGACAGCTGTAGCTAATTCTGATTATATGCACATTGCACATACCTAATGGCGCTACGAGGGTCGCGAGGTACTCCACATTTGTGTGCACCTTGCGAAGCCATCCACTTCAATTTATGTGGAGCAGGCGTGTTTTATAAAAGTGAAACAATAACATTGCAAGAGAAATAACATCAAAACATTGTAAATCCCTTGAGCATACAAAGACTCATGGCTTCAGCTTCGCTGAGATTGACTCTGGCTTAAAATACCAATATTTGCCTTGGCAGCTATGAGCTTCGTGCAGCTCGTACAGCCTAATCTCAAGTGACATTTTATACGAGGGTCTATGATATGAGCAAAACACTGACACGGGTGGCCAAGCATAAAATATTGCAGAAGGTTCACTTTTTCTAATTTCTTCAACCACGTGTGTCAGATTGAATACCGTACGATTGGTGCGATTAGTACGATTAGTTCGATTGGTGACGGCCAACATGTCACTGAAGCCTTGCTCTGGCGGGCTTCCTAATCCTAACGGCCCCTCGACAGACGACAGCCCCACTGTCATCACGGCCGTCCGTGTGCCGGCTTCTGACCTGACACCCGTACCACAGTTAGCAGCGCTGTGAGGAGCGTTCAGTTTTACCCACTGGGTAAAGCAAAACAACGCACGATCTGCCCTGCGATCTCTCTGATTTATTATCAGGGCAAACAAGCGGCTTCTCCACAACATCCCCAATCCCCCGGGCCGCGCTGCGCGGTCGTCTCCGGGCGAATAGCTCCTCAGGAGCAGGCTCAGCTCACGTGCAATTGGGTGATCGTTAGCGTGGGGGGGGGGGGGGCTGTCAATGTAACTGACTCAGCGACAGCTCCGGCGGAACATCACGGTGGACGCTCACGCCCAGACCAATGTCTGCCCTTAATTCCTCTTATCTTTCTGGCTCTGAAATTGACGACCGAAAGGGTCTTATGGGAGGTATACAAACAAGCAACCGTTGTCTGCCTCCACTCATACCCGTGTCGCGGCCTCGCCCAGAGCAGGAAGTTTTTGCCACGCGTTTGCGTATTATTAATAACATTCATTCTTCATTCCTGTTGACGCCGGCCGATTGCTAATTGCAGGCTTTTGAGCAGGACTGAATGATTGCTTTATAGCTTTCAGCGACTGATGGGTGCATCAATCGTCTTGGATTTTAGATATCTCAGTGACCTAAGGTCATGTCAATAAGGCGACCTCTTCATCTTAGGACATGCCTTAGGAACTGGAACTATAAATCCCTTAGGAAATACTATTTTTAACTATTAACATTGTCAAGACTGGAGACTTCCGGATAGATATCTAATTGAGTACTTGGATGAAATCCAGCTTTTATTTCTTTTTCTTTGGCGAAACCATGGGCACGGCTCTCTTGAACGTTTGTTCTATCTAATGGAGTAAATGACCATTAATCAGGTGTGTGACTGCTGACCTACTCTTGACTCCTGACTCACGGCATTGCTTTGGTCTTTGGTAAGATTGGGCCAAGATCCCATGTTCTGTTCGCCGGCTTGGCGCCGACTATTTGCCACATAAAATTGAAGATTAAGCTGTTTTCTGGTCAGTGGAAATTGTTTCAAATTCAAGATAAAGCCGGTGAGTGAGGCTGCAGTACTTGGCGTTGTGGACCCACAAAATGTTCTGCCGTCAGCGTCAGTGGAATAACCCGCGCACCGACGAGGGGGCGGTTATCCTGAGGGTTTTCGTGAATAGCGCAAAAACCGCGCCTTGTAGCGCCGCGAAATTTGGCATGACTTCTACCCCATTAATTTTACACATGGTGTGCAAGTTTGAACCTCCTACCTTTCAAGGTCAGGTCACCAAATCACTTCGAATGACCCATCCTCAAGTCACTTTTTTGCAACTTTGTCACCGTGTCAGAGCTACAGTTGATGACGGAGGCCTTTGAACATTGCAGGATGTAATGAGGTCATAAGTAGGTACAATTTATGTGTCTCGGTATTTTGATATCAATGACATAAGGTCAGGTAAATTTCGTGACCTCCCCATTAAAAGTCAATGGGGGGGGGGGGGGGGAATCAACTCCCTGTTTTCCACTAAAACGCGTCGTAATGGCCCAACTTGCGTTTATCATTCGTTTACCTATAGGGCAGGTCAATGACCTAAAATTCAAGAAAATCAAGAGTTGCTGGTTCTTGAAGTGGGGCTTTTAGAGATGATGAGAGGTCTGGATTTCGAATTTCGCATACATTTTGTTGAATAAAAATTATGCATTTGTGTACCTATTTGGGCGGGGCGGGCTGGGTTATTAAAACACAACAAACCATTCGGCCCAGAACAGTTGGTCACCAAAATCTTGCCAACCTTGATTGTTTGTAAATATCCTTGTGATCCTTACGGCATGGCATTCCGGTTCATGTGGTATTTCAAGATACAGACTTCAGTTGTGCATACTTACCAGACGTCTCGGGCCCCGGAAAAATAATCGCCGGAAGCGCTAACGATGAACAGCCCAGTGGCGGCGGCGCTGGCTCTCTCACCTGTGCCGTCTGCGGACGAACACAGGCCATGCCCGCTCCCAATGTTTGGCACCAGATAAACCTGCATTCCGGTCGGCCGGCCGCGTGCACGGCGTTCTCGACGTCAGCGCGCCCCGTGCCGCCGCCGTTGGGGCGAGTTTGGCGTGCGCGGCGGCGGCAGCCGCGCAGCGCGGTCCGGTAAACTGACAGGGAGACAGGTAAACAGCGCCCAGTCGTCCCTGCACTCGTCAGTCGGGGCAGGTCGCGCCGCTGCACACTGGTCGGAAACGCTCCAGCGAGAGGCCAGCGGCCTTTCCGCAAAAGTTTTTTGCTTGTTATTCCACAACTAGTGAAGCAAACATCATAAAACTTTGCATACCTTCTCTGTCATATGTAAGCTATCATTTGGATGTCAAGCACTAAATATATGACGTGAATCTGTTAAGTTATGACGTCATAATTGAGTATAATACAGGATCTAGCACCACTTTAAGTCAACAAGGGAAATTGGGAGCTGCTATTCGGGCACCGGGAATGGTTTCATGCACTCCTTGCAAGGTCCAGTGCTTGACTTTAGCATTGTTGACTTTGCGTGACGTCATTTATGACGTCACTAAGGCCATGTAAGTTTTTCGTCAATAACTCCTGATCAGATGGAGCTAGAGAGTCGGGAAAGCCACCATTGGACTCAGGAAGACCTGCCGAATCGAATGATATGCAATATGACCTCCTTCAACCATTTTCGTGACCTGAGGGGCTCCGACCTGACCTTGACCCGAGGTTAACACCTTAACCCTCGCCGGCACAAGGGGGGGGGGGTTGATGCAACCCCCCCTAAGGGTTTTCGCGAATAACTCGCGTAAAAAGCGGCCGATCGCGACGAAACTTTCAGTACCCTTGCATTGATCAATTTTACACCTACCCTGAAAATTTCATGACCCTGACCCTAATGACCTTTGACCTGTGACCTCTTTTCCGTGACCATGTTTGGCCGAAATCGCGATTCGGCGTATGTCGGCTCGCATTAGCCGCGCGTTTGCAAGCTTTTCGTGGTTTCAAACGTTCAAACATGTGATTTGATGTTGCTCCCATACATAAGGATGGGTGTCAAGGTCACCTGAAGGTCAGGTCAGGTCATTGACCTTTGGTGACCTCGGGTGACCTCGGTTCACTTTTTCGAGTTTTACATGTTTCTAGGCTAGTTTTTGGAGCTGAATTCAATTTAGCAACCATTTGAAGTTTTTGAACATTTACGAAGTAGTTTTGGCGCCTTCGTAACATGTTACGAAGCTGTCAGAGGCGGTTGACACGTATTACGAATACCTGTCACAACCCCTACCGGTTGACCTGACCTGACTCGACCTGGTCTAAATGCTTAAAGACATTATCTCTGATCAAAACTAATACGATATTCGTGATCAGCACCCCGGAAAACCACATAGCAGCCACAATTTACGACTTTCTAACAGGTCCCGATTTTCCCGGTTTTCGGGTCATTGACCTGACCTGGAAGGTCACCCGATGACCTAGGACCTTAAAATTGGGTATCATCGGCTTTCTCTCGTGACGTGCAACACGCTCGTTTTTTTCCGCGAAGCTCTAGCTCGATCAGGGGCCAAACGCGAGGGGGGGTCGTACCAACCCCCCCCCCTTGTGCCGTCGAAGGACGCAAAATGGCCTGTGCCGGCGAGGGTTAAGTTGACTTCACCCGAACACCAAGTATAGCATTCAACGCGCCTGAGCTAGACAAACACGATTATGCCAAAATCGCGGCAGTGCGACCATTTTTGACAAAGTAATTAACCTAAAACCGAGCCCGTGCCTTGTGGCACTTACCTGACCTAAGAGGTCACTGGCTGACCTAAGACCTTAAAATCGGGTAGTACCTAATTTTTGCGTCTTATAACGGCACACAAGCTTGTTTTTTTCCGCGAGGCTCTAGCTCAATTAGAGGCGAAACGGCGAGGGAGTTGTACCAACCCTCCCCGGTCAATGTAGAAAACCAATCGGTCCGGCCAGGGTTAAATACCGGAATTGTGATCTAATGTAAAAAGACGGCCCAAGGTAACCCGACGTCAGTGACAGGTGTCCTATATTTGCAGCGTCTTATATTCACGAAGGTTTCAATTTCCACTTTGTTCAGCCGAGTGATGGTTGTCAATTGCAAGGCTCTCTAAATGCAAGCCGTAATCGCCACGCAATATGTGGAAGGCTTTTGATGTCAATACATACATAAATGCATACATAAAACGCGCTTTTCACAAAATTCATAAACTCAAGCGCATCTGTTTTAATGACCAGTCAACTACGCATGGATGCGTGCAGGCCACACAGGTCAGCGTAAGCCGGGCGCGGCGGCCGAGCCGAAACTGGGGCGGGGCGGGCGGTAGTTGGGTAGGAAGAGCGGCTCCTGCAAATTTTGCGCAAATATGCGCAGTTAGCTTTTATGTTGCCCTGGTGTAAATTTAAATCCTACTTCATCTCACAAAAAATCAGAGTGGAACTAGATGGGACTACCTGTTGTTTCCTTACCTAAACTTTGCAGTTATATTCCAGAATCACTGTAGGAGAGCCTTCATAAAAAAGCTATAGTACATCTTAGTTAGGGAAAAAGTATACCAAAAATTTTGCACTGACCAGTCGGCAACTTCATAACGAACATTTTGATGCATAATATGTGGGATTTCAATTTGGTGTCTATCAGCAATAAGACTCTGAATATCCGGCTCAAGAAACCTCTTGCTCCGCGTCAATTTCCGAGTTCTGGGATACCCCATCTTCGGGGGCTGATTACAGCTATTTTTGGTCACCCAGATTAGTTTTTTTGGCCTAAGTATAATAATTTGATCAATTTCAAATCGATCTATATAAAAAATAATCCGAAACTCCGGAATCGCCCGTGGCCTCTCGTGAGGGCGTTTCCGACCAGTGTGCGCAGACTGGCTGCCCTGACTCTGTCAGCGGCGCGCCTAGTATGCGATTCCTCAGGACAGTGACATGCTCCGCTCCTGGATGGATGTGTTTTTAACGGTTTAATCGGAAACTTGTTGTGTCGTAGCTGGTTATCAGTTCTGAGAATTCATCCCGAAATAGGCGACCTCCTTACGAGCAAAAGGCAGTCCCGTGTTGTTGCGCGTCTACTCGAGAACGATTGCGCGTCGTTGCAGCTGGTTCGTGTCATTATTCATTTAAAGTGTTGACGTCCGGACGCGAGGGTATACGGCATGTGTTTTACCTTTCTCCGTAACGCTGCGCACAATTTGGATTTTATTGTAAGCCCATGGTAAATCGAAATCACTTTGCAGAACTTTGACATAAAAATGACTCACAATTAACCTTCGCCCCAGTGGGGGGGGGGGGGCGGGGCATATGTTACCACCCCGGCGCGTTTTTTTTGCGTGTGAATAAAAAACCGCGGCGCGTAGCACCGCGCCGCTTGGGTTACCTTTTGGTACATCAATTGGACAATGTGTGAAATTTTTGACCCCAGGTCATGTCAGGTCAGGCCACTAAGTCAAGTTAACTGACCAAGCCTAAAAAAGTTTGCAATCATGTCCAGCCTGCAGTGTTTGTCAGAAAGGTACTTGGTGGATTGCATGATGTTATGGGCGCCTACAATTTGTATATCTCGGATTTTTTTATAGACGTGACCTTTCAGACTTATAGACGTGTCAGGTCAGTGGCGTGACCTTTCCATTACAAGTCAATGGAGAAAAATGAAAATGCCTCTAGATCCGTGTGTACGCATAGGAACAGTCCAAATATTTCAGAATCACAATGATTTGGACCACCCGTGATGACCAATGTGTCATTTTTGCTGATAGCCTCTAGAAAGGTCATCCGAGGTCATTTGAGGCTACAAACAGATTTTTGCCAATAACTCGCGATTGGAAACAGATAGAACGGTGGGGATGGTCTCATTGTGTTTGTCGTGTTGAGACGCATCGACTGTTATGCAACATGACCTTTTCCGGTCAGGTCATGACCTTGACCTGAGGTCAAATTTTTAAGTTGACCTTTCAAGGTCAAATTTAGCTCATTCGACGCGTCTCGGCGAGAGGAACACGATTCTGGCAATAGAAATGTCGTGTATTTTTGTAGTCGAAAGTTATTGTCGAAAAACACTTCGTGAAAACTACTATTTTTGGAGTTTTTGCCCTCTGGAGGCTAAACCGTTGACCTGAGGTCAATTTTGAAATGACCTTATCAAAAGAAGAGTTCAAAAGCTATCGATTGCTTTCCATGCGTTTTTCTAGCTATAGTTCGTTTTTCTTAAGTTTGCCCCTCACTGTAAACGTCTTTTTGAACACAGCACGAGAATTGCTAGCTGAATTACTGAGAAAACTGGTTGGCGCACATTGTATTGTAGATATGAATAGTATTTTCAAAACAAGCTTTGAACACCGATGATTTAACGTTATGTTAAGCGCCGTGCAATTTATTTATTAGTTCAGACATAATTCCTGAGAAGTTGTCTATCCCTGTGGGGCTGTAGGTATTGGCAAATACGAGCTACGAGTCTGTGAAAAAGTAAATAAATTTGATCAAATTGGTCGTCTGTCAAATCTGGTCAAATCAATGTGCGCCAACCAGTTTTCTAAGTAATTCAGCTAGCAATTCTCGTGCTGTGTTCAAAAAGACGTTTACAGTGAGGGGCAAACTTAAGAAAAACGAACTATACCATAGTTCCTGAGATAATGGCATGTTTTCTGAAAAAAAATATTATGACCATTGGCAAATTTTCACCTTTGATGACCTCTGGTGACCCCAATATTGCTCTAAGATGAAAAATGACTGAATTGCTTTCAAACGTACGCTTTGAGAGCTATCGACTGCTTTTTACCGCGTCTTTCTAGCCCTCTTAGTTTTTGAGTTAGAGGTGGGTGGTAACATATGCCCCCCCCCCCCTAAGGCGATGTTGGCTGAGATCGCCACTGGGGCGCGGGTTAATACCATTCGCAACCTCTTGCAAAGACAGCATATGCTTCTTGAATGTAAGAACAAAACCGGTCCATGTATGTGAGTTCCGACCTTATATGGCAAGTCTTTAGCCATTCCTTAGAATCTTACCTTCTCATATTAGTTACGCCTATCTCACTCAGATGAATATTTACATCGACAATTAACGTGCCATAAACCCGGGGAAGATACCTCCCTAGATATCTTCAATGGTAATGGCGACATCGCAACCAATCTTCCAGGGACCCAGGGGAAAAACATACTGTAAAACACTCCTTTTCCCGCTTTTATCCGGCGCCTCTCCTTTTCTGTCGATATCTCCTAAAGGACTGCAGATTTTGCCTCATGACTTTCAGGGCCCTCCGGGCATCAATTTTACACATAATTTTCGAATATTTTTCCTAAAGACTATGATGGGTGAGCCACAAACTACGTCAGGATGACGTTACAATCTGCCATTTTCGACAAAAAAGGCTTTGTGGGAAGAGCTGTCACGCTTACAGCTTTGAAGATACCGAAAAATAGTCAGGACACAAAATATGTAGAATTAGATTGGCTACAAAACCATTGCCACAGATTTTTTTAATTTTTGGGTGTTGACTCCTAGAATACAAGTATTTTCTTATATAATATCCTCAAGATCCCGAAAATTATCAGAATTTCGAAAACAACCGGATCCCTCCTCGCCCGTATTGGTGTTTTGCGATCCGCGAACTTTTAAGGGGTGGGTCCGTCGGACCCCGTTCGGCCCCTGATCGAGCCAGAGCTTCGCGCTTCGCGGAAAAAAACGCGCGTGTTGCCCGTGACGAGAGGTAGTAGATGATTCCCAATTTTATGGTCCTGGGTCATTGGATGACCTTCCAATTCAGGTCAATGACCCAAAAGTCGAGAAAATCGGGACATGTCAGAACTTCGTAACGTGAGGCTGTCGTGGACCTTTTTTGTGCTGATCACGAGTTTCATGTTGGTTTTTATCACAGATAATGTCTTTACATTTAGCCAACGTCGGGTCAGGTCAGGTCAGGTCATCCAGCAGGCGTCCTGCCGGGTAATTATAGCATGTGTCAATCACTACTGAACATATTACAAATGCAGAGGCACCGAAACTACTGCGCAAATGTTTAAATGGTTGCTAAATTCGAAGTCAGCTGAAAAAAGTAGCCTAGAAATATGTAAAATTAAAAAAGTGAAACGAGGTTATTAAAGGTCAGTGACCTGGCATGACCTATACATGACCTTGACACCCACCATGATGCATGGGACCAACATCTTTTCACGTTTTCGAACGTGTAAAACCACGAAAAGACTGAAAACGTGCGGATAATGTGAGGCGACATGCGCCGAATCGCGATTCCGGCCAAACATGATCTTTAAGAATAGGTTACAGGGCAAAGGTCCTTTAGACCTGGGACCAGGGTCATGAAATTTTCCAGGTAGGTGTGAAATTGATCAACTCGAGGGCACTGAAAGTTTCGTCGTGATCAGCCGCTTTTTGCGTGAGTTTTTCTCGAAAAACCGAGGGGGATCCGTTCGACCCCTCCCGATAAGTGCGATGGTTAACGACCTTGATGTCTTCAATCGAGATCGACATACCAAATTTGAGATTGATGCTTACTTTTTTGCTAAGTTATGGCGAAAAAGCTGCTCAAAATTGATGACGTCAAACTTTCAAAGCCTGTTAAACTCAGTTGACCATAACTGCGCGTCCTTCATACCGCACTTATCATGATTATACATGTATCATATACAATATACACGTACCGTTTGACCAAACAGGCGTAAATGTGTGAATATTCCAATACTTTGCAATAATGGGTGGTCTAATCAAACTCCCCTCCTCAAACCATGTAATGACGTATGCTAATTGCACGCGTCAGAACAGCTATGACACAAACGGCGCGGAGCCGTTGGGCCGACGCGTCCCGAGGCGCGGCCCGTATACCGCGCGGCAGCAACAGTGGTGGGCCCGGTGGCGGTCCGACGGGCCCGGCTGCTCCCCGTGCTGTGCGCAGTATCGACCGGCGGCGGCGTTCGACTTTGATGGGCCGCGCGCGGCGCCCGCGTCCGCCGCTCCAGTTATCATATCGTCCGAGCACGCCGCACACGGCGCCGACGACCGCTGTGCGTCGACACCCGTCGGCATCGACGAGCGCGCTGACCCGGAGCGGCCGGCGGTGCCGAGCCGCAGACACAGGCACATGCTCAGTCTGGCGGGACGCGAGCGGCACGCGCGCCTCAAACTGAAGAAGTATCGTAACACGAGCCTGGCGCGAAACGGCCGGCTGGAACACTTCGGATACTGTTCGTCAAGTGGTGAGTGATGATGTGGGGGTCGTTCTTCACGGGCGGCGAAGGCTGGCTGGAGCTGACAGGAATACATTCATGAAATGGAGTGGCGGTTATAAGGGGGCGTTTATGAAAAAGTGTGGCCAGCAGTGAGGAGATCGTTTGATATTCATGAGTGACTTTTGAGAGGAAGAGTGACGCATGTTCGCCAAAAAATTACTATTTCGTTTATACAATGGAAGTTACTGTTGCAGCGTTTGGACGTTGGTGTCCCAGCATAATTTAAAACAGCATAATGTAAAAAAAAATTGGCACCGCAATGAATTCACGCTTCATGAAATAAAACAAATCACCCAACAATCATACGTTCCTAATTGCAAGCTGCTTTCACCACCTTACTTGAAGACTGAAGTGGATATGTGACGAAATATTTACAGAGCCATCAGTATTGAATTAATTAACCACCCTTGCCTAGCCAGTGTCCACTTTAAGGTTGACTTCACATTATCGACATCCGTCGTCGACCTCGCTTTCCAGAGTTATGAATTTGATGGCAAGAAATGACAGAAATACAACCACAACGAAGTGGCAAGTAGACGTCTCAGCCCTTTAGGGAAGGCCTATCCGGAGTGGATTAGGCTGTTGGGACATGGACCCCAAAGTTCTGCGCTCCAGGGATCAAATAGATCATGTCTGAGAGATATTGTGCCTCAGAACGGCTTACTTTATTTGGCACTGTGAACTTCTGAGTTATGACACCATAGATCAAGACACTCGAACTTTGGGGCATCGGAATGACTCGTGACTTTGAACGTCAACGATCGATTTTCTGTCTTGTCTTGTCCTTGAGGCGATTTGGCTCACATGTACAGTAGGTCTATTAAAAAAGTCCCCAGCACCAGTGGGCGCTGCCTTCGCTGAGCCGAACCCCCGTCTGCCCGTCCCATATCGCGCCGGGCTCAGGTCAGGTAGGGTCAGCGGGACCGCTCGGTCCGGCCCGCGGGCGGTGGACGGGCGGCCGGTAACGCTTTCCGCCAGCCAGCTGTAGAATCCAACAAACGGGACGGCCACCGCTCAGCGCAGCGAAACCGGTGTTAATGAATGGCAGTAGATGTTCATGGCCACAATGATTATGAGATAGTCATTGTTAGCCCGTGCCCCACAGGAATGCCTAGACTCTCAAGCCCTGTTGGAGTGGAAATGGGGATTGAGCATCATTCTTATAACTCAGCTTTGGGCATTTAAGTGGTATTCGAAGTAGCGTCAAAAGTAGCAAAAAGAAGAAAATATACTTCAGCCAATTTTAGATCGGGTCAGAGCAAAAGATCATGTCACCAGAGGTCATCGATGATAAAATTTTGCTTGGACAGGGTGCGTTGCGCGCACCGGTGCATTGGGTTTCCAATTTGAATTTCCATGGATGCATCAACAGACTCGGAAGCTCGTAACGCTAGTGTGGAGCCGAATTCATATCAACCGCCGCAACAATGCATGGCAGCGCAGCGCAGCGTGCTGCAGCGCGGGGCCGTGAAACACCGCCCACGGCTATCCATGTGTCAGGGCAATCCAACCCACTTGATGGGCTCGGCCCCAGCGGAGCATGAGGCCCAGGACTCCCGCCCAGGCCCCCTGTCTCCCCCTAATTCCTGTCATCCTTACCACTCTGAAATTGACCGAAAGAGCCTAACCTAACACAACAAGCAGCTCGTTTACCGCTATGTCTGAATAATATTGTCAGATTTAATTAAGGTCAACGGCTAAGCACGTAAATAACAGCAACTGCCATCATCGGTATTATGAGAAAACCAATTGCTTTTCCACAAACACTAAAAGTTTTAAGCTAAACTTGCATGAAATTAATTTAACCAGCGTCGTGTTCCTCTTATCAAAACGCTTCGAATGAATCAAAAGTTGATCTTTAAAGGCCATTTGAAGAATTTGGCCGACGCGATGTTCAAAGACATGACCTGACCAGAAATGGTCATGATGCATAGCAGGATATTAGATCCGTATCGTGGAACTTTACAAACACTTTAGATGATTTCATAACTTAAGCATGTCTATCAAAAATATTTATTACATGGCTCACGTGTAAGCTGGGTGTGTGATCATGCTTACGAGTATGTTGAACGCAACTGATAATGTTCTGTTGGCCACAATTTCTATATTTAATTTATCCTCCCGGATTTCATATTTTTATTAATGACACCTTGACGATGTCGAGAAAAAAAAAACGCTTAGGAGATTTAACAGCCTGAGATACATTCAGTATAAGAAAGGGTCAAGGGTGCTAGATTCCTTCCGTCCTCGCTATCCTCAGGAAAAACCAATCCGCATCGCCCCTAGTCTTCATGCTTCCCTCTCTGGACTGGAGGTCACCCCACCAGCCAACCTGTAGTTGATGTCGGTTCCATTCCAGGACACATAATCCTCTCCGGGTGACCGTTGGGGAGACGACTGGACCGTCCCGACAGGGCAATCGTCCCACGGGAACAGTCTCGCTTCCGCAGATCACTATCGCTGGATCGCACAACCCAATTACTACACCAGAGCATAGTTATGTCATAGCTCTGCAAGGGCCTTCTCAGACCGAAAAAGATGGCTCCCAACAAAACAAACAATTTTCTCATTCAGTATTGTATCTCATCAGGCACCACATGTTTTCAGACTTCAGAGTGTTTATTATGCGTTCCGTCCAAAAAAAAGCGCAGTTCAACTTTCTCCCATTGACTTTAGCGATCTCAAAATTGACTCGACCTTTCTGTCAGCAATGTCAAACTTGCAAAGTAAACGTTTCAAATACATATCATATGTATTTGAAAAATTGTAATTGAATTGAATGTAATTGAAAAAAAAACAGTAGTACTGTTGCCCATTGAAATCGCTGAAGGTTCTAAAGCGATCGGTTAGTCGATGCATTTAGATATGATGAGCACAGGAACTTTCCTTGAGGTAAGGTCACTTGACATGACCTGGTGTTATGACCTTCAATTGAAAAACTTGGGCGGAAACAAATGGGTCATTTGAAATCTTAAATGTTAAGATTTTAACAATAATTGCGAACACTATCCCGGCCAAATAGTGAGTGAGAAGGGAGCGATTCCCCAACCCCATGTTAAGCTCCTATAATTGAGCTAACTGCTAGAGCCTCGCGGAAAAAACGAGCGTTTGCGTCGCTACGTGACGCAGCGACTGTTACCCCATTTTAAAATATCAGTGACCTCTTAGGGCAGGTCAAGGGCCCCACGGCATGGGATCGGTTTTTGGTGAAAAACTTCGCAAAAAATGGTCGCATTATCGCCATTTTAATACAATCGTGTTTTCTGTTCTCAGACGCGTCGATTTATATGCTTTTTTGCTTAGGTGAAGCAACTTAGGATGTTTAGGTCAATGTCATGTTAGGGCAACACAGGTCACGAAGCTGTTGAAAGGAGGACATGTTGCATAACATTTGATTCGGCAAGTCTTGCAGAGTCCATTGATGGCTGTCCCGACTGGCTAGCTCATTTTGATCGGGAGTTATTGACGAAGCACTCCTATTGACGAGCACTCCTATTGACGAGCACTCCGTCACGCAAGGTGAACAATGCAAAAGTGAAGCAGTAAACGTTGCCAAGAATGTATGAAGTCACGATTTCATGTGCTTGAGGTATAGTTTTAGGTCATTTCCGACGCCAAATAACCAGTTTCCATATTTTCCCATTATGCTTATATGAGACTAAGTGCATTACGGATTTGCATCATTTTATAACCGACAACCGTGCAGTCTGCAGAGGTTTAGTTAACCCTATTAGTGGCAGGGGGGGTTGTTTTTATCCACCCCTCAGGTTTTTCGGGAATATCTCCGAAACCGCTGAAGCTACGATGCTGAAATTTTCTGACTTTTCCTAAAACTAAATTGGGCACATTCCCTGAAAATTTCAAGTTCATAACTTTAACAGGGGCGGCTCCAGAGCACTGGGAATTGGGGGTCCTATTCGTGAAGCGAGTCATTTGGGCGAAGATCACGATGCTGCACCAGTTTTACGAACAGTGAATGAAAGGTATCATGTGATAACATATACAAAGTTATTGTGCATCCTCTTTTGACACGTTTTTGCTATAATAGGCGGATCCAGGCGTCCAAAAAGGGGGGTTATTTTTTACCTCCCAACATAGGTGCCCTGACACCGCCTATGCATGACCAATACAATTTTAGTCGTTCTCTCATAAGAAAATTGTAACATAACAAGACCATTGCCACGCTTTTTAGAAACAGTACCAACAAAAACCTTATTTACTATACTTTTTGTGTACCCCCAATCTCAATGATCTGTATCCGCCTATGATTTTTGAAAATGCATATTTTTAGGATCCATGTGAATTCCTGGTTCATTCTCTATCGATCGGCAAAAGTTGCGTTAAGATTGGTTCATAAACCTGGCCGTGATAAACAGTCTAAAATGTATCTGCAATTTGCCCGTTTTTACCCCCCTCTACCCCCCTATTGACATTTTTTAATTTTATTTTTTTAGAAATGTAGATCTCGTTGAGCCAAATCGAATGCCGTTTGAATTTTGAAAATCGGCCGGTTAGATCTCGAGATATCAAGGGGGGGTCGTAAACAGCCCCCCCCCCTGCCACTAATATGGGGTAGCCAGGAGCCTGCCACTAATAGGGTTAAGACGTCATAGTTAAGTGACCTGACATGAAAACGTGGTTGATTTCAAATGATCCGGCTTAAATCAAATGTAAGGCATATGAAATGTCAGCCTTCTATCATCAGTGTGCTTTGAGCTACCACAAAAAAAAAAAATACAAGGTGGCGGCATCCACCCCTTTTTCTCGGCCGGCGAGGGTTAAACCTCGCTTCGAATTATTGCAGATAATGATGCGACCGAAAACAAAGTATTTATCTGTGTCTAGAACGGCCGCTGACTTGTTGGACAAGATCCCCAATCCTAATTTGCTAGATGGGAATAAAATATTCGGCCCTAACCTCCCCGGTATGCCTTAGTGCAACCGGGATGCAAAATTCTCAAATATTC